ATGTTTGTATGTTATTTAGGTTATGTTCAACTTCAAGTCGATTTTTATTAAGTTACTCTTGATTATCAATATCTTCCATATTTTGCTACCCTAGCATCTAATTTGCCCTTAGTTTGGTGTGCATAAGCTTCATGTCCAAACACGGTTTCTGCTCGTTATTAAGAGTGGGCATGTGAATAAGACCACGAATGTAAACGAGGCATTGGATGAGATACGTACAAGATTCAAGGACGATATTTTATTTTTTTTCAACTAGGAGAGAATGACGGAGTTCGAAATATGCCTAAGGGTTGATAGTTATCATGTTATGTTATTGTTTCCTATTTAATTTATTTTTCTTGAATTTCAGTTGAGTGTGCAGCCCTTTACGTCCTTGTGCAAATTTTAAGGTTTCTTTGTTAGGTTTTCTAATTGGGCCACTCTTTCTCTTATATTTTTGCTTGCTTGTTTATTGAATTAAAAATATAGAATTTGGAGTTATTCAAATTTTTACAATTTTCAGTATTTGATGTTTGAAATCATTGAGTTCAAATTCTTGTTCGTCATATGCAAATCTACAAGTCTTTCATACTTAGCCTGTGTTTGAGCTCAATTTTTAACAAAATTCATTTTTTAAAAAACTCATTTTCAACCATATATTCTTTCATAAAATGATTTTATAAATAAAATCTAAAACATTTTTTTTTTTATTTTAACCATCAATTCTTCAAAAAATTGCTATTCTAAAAATTATTTCCCCCAAAAAATGAGGATCACATAGTGCCTTAATTTTATGAATTCTGCTATTTGTACATTAACATGGTACATAAGTGGTTACCGAAAATGATGTGGAAGGAAAATATTAGATGAAAAAGTCAATTGTCTTTTAAAACTAACAAATAATAAGGTATCATGTGGCATAATGTAATTCCTTATATAAATCTTAATGTACGTGTAACAAGGTCCTAAGTTTATAACATTGCGAGAAATTAACAAGTACAAGATTCAAGGACGATATTTTTTTTTTCAACTAGGAGAAAATGACGGAGTTCGAAATATGCCTAAGGGTTGATAGTTATCATGTTATGTTATTGTTTCCTATTTAATTTGTTTTTCTTGAATTTCAGTTGAGTGTGCAGCCCTTTACGTCCTTGTGCAAATTTTAAGGTTTCTTTGTTAGGTTTTCTAATTGGGCCACTCTTTCTCTTATATTTTTGCTTGCCTATTTATTGAATTAAAAATATAGAATTTGGAGTTATTCAAATTTTTACAATTTTCAGTATTTGATTTGAGTTCAAATTCTTGTTGGTCATAGGCAAATCTACAAGTCTTTGATACTTAGCCTGTGTTTGAGCTCAATTTTTAACAAAATTCATTTTTTAAAAAACTCATTTTCAACCATATATTCTCTCATAAAATGATTTTATCAATAAAATCTAAAACATTTTTTTTTTATTTTAAACATCGATTCTTCAAAAAATTGCTATTCTAAAAATTATTTCCCCCAAAAAATGAGGATCAAATAGTGGCTTAATTTTATAAATTTTGCTATTTGTACATCAGCATGGTACATAAGTGGTTACCAAAAATGATGTGGAAGGAAAATATTAGATGAATAAGTCAATTGTCTTTTAAAACTAACAAATAATAAGGTATCATGTGGCATAATGTAATTCCTTATATAAATCTTAATGTACGTGTAACAAGGTCCTAATTTTATAACATTGCGAGAAATTAACATAAATTAAAAGGTGATCATTTTGCAGTAATCGTTCAAAATTAACGAGGCTTTGATCGTGTATTCGTTCACTATTTTACTATTATGCGATTATCAAATTCATTGATGCTACTCACTAACTCACTTATTTTTCGATTGTTAAAACTCACAAACATGCTTTCCAATTTGGCAATTTATGTGTCATTTAACCTAATATACTAGAATTGTCCACTGAGAGAGAGTGAATAATGTTACAATAAGAAGTAAATAACAATAAAATTCGGATATAATTTTTTTTTTTTTTTTTTTTAAATTTAGCCAACCTATAGAAGTAAATCTTTGAGAAAAATAGCTGTAAAAGTCCTTAACCTTTGATCTTTGTTTCATTTTGGTACTCAATCATCAAAAAAGCTAATTTTCACCGCCCACTATTAGCAGATGTTGCACCTGTAATTTCACAAGACAGATCCATCCAAGATGCAATTTATGGCAATTTGACCCAAAAAACTCAGGGTCTGCATCCGTCCTGAATGGGAAGGCTGGTTGGGGATGACGTGCCGTGCACTGCGCCCTGCCCCAATTTTGTAGTTATGTGTGTGTGTGTGTGTTTGTTGGGACAATAAACGGAACGGGAATTGCCTTGCCCCACATTAAGAGGGGATTAGGGTGAGAGCCCCGTTGTCATCCCTACGTCTGATTATTTTTTCAAGAATAAAGCACGAGATTGCCATTTTTCTATTCTTTTTCGTAGGTTGTTTAGTATCTTAAAATGTTAATAGCACTATTGACTAAGGGTATGTTCGGTAGAGATTAAAATTAAAAAATTAGTCGTTATTGTTGACTTTTATTAGATGAGTGAAACCCAATAACAGTTATATCATTTTTTTATATATAATATCATTTTTTTATAAACTAGTCAAAACTAAAGATGCGTTGCACGTTATTTCGAAATACTTTATAAACGCTGTAGAAATGATATTTGAAAATCAGTTAATATAAAAAATAGTTTAAAAAACTGTTTATGTGAAATGAATTTTTTATACAATTCAATTATTTATTTACGTCAATTAATTCTTCAAATTCATGCACGTACACTTTATATATTTTGGAGGTTATTCAATTACTCTAAAAATACTACAATTCAATTATTTATATACGTGCATGTATACTAATTAACGTTTATTGATGGATATATAAAATATATCATTAAGTCATCAAGTTCATGTACACATGTTTTGGGAGCTATTCAATTATTTTAGGAGTAAATAAATTATTCAAGTTCATAAACACATTTATTTTCAAGATTATTCATTTTATCAGAAATTATTTTAGAGTATATAAATTATTAAAGATCATATAATTGGGGAACTATTCAATTATTATANACTCATGGCAAGAACATATTTCTGGCCAACCTCTCACTTATATAACAAGATTGGACAAATATGAGACATGATTAGATTGTGATATTTTTGTGATTACTTGTTTGCTATTTTCCAAAAAGTCAAAACAACTTTAGTGACATTGACATTCATACACCACCTCACTTGTAGGAAATTAGGGTAACACGGCTTGATCCTTAGTAAGGCTGTCAATGGATTGAATTTTGACACGAATTCGATGAAATTAATGGGAGATGGATTTAGGGTCTCAATCCGATAATCCGATCAAGATCCAAATCCGATAATCCGTTAACTAAATGGATCAAATATGGATATAGATCAATCTAATCTGATAACAATCCGATTGATTTGTTATAAATAATTGAGTCGGTAAAATATTTTTATGGTATATTATTTGTCACTAAAATAAATAAACGAGAAAATAAATAAATTTAGAATAAAAAATAATCAAATTCAAAACATAAAAAAGTTTAAGAAAATTATAATTATTAAACTTGTTTAAGAATTGAAATTTTTTTTTTAAAAAAGTTGATTTCAACCAATGTTTTTCAAATTTTAGTTTACTAATTTAAAGTGAATAAATATCTATATTTTTTTAAATTAAATTTATTATTGTCATTTATTTTACAACTTCAAAAACTAATAATTAATATGTAACAAATAATTTGATTTGTTAATGGAAATAATGAAATAAAATATTTATATTTAAAATTGAAATTCAATTTTACATTATCCCACATTGAATGTCAATAGAAAAATAGAAGATGGCTTCTCCTTTAAAAATGAACATTATGATGGTAGAAGCCACTATTGGGCTTGTTAGGAAAAATAGGTGGGTCTTAAGTTAGTTCAAAAATTTTTTCCCTAATTTTGGATCGGATATCCGATAACATTGCAAATCGAATATGAATTTAGCAATTAAATATCCGTTGGATTGTCGGATCGAATCGGATAGGATAAATTTTCTTATCGGATCGGATCATATATAGGCAGATCCGATCCATTTACAACCCTAACCCTTAGACGCCCAATCTTGACTCGTGTCTAAATCTCAGGTTCGGGTTGGCTCAAGTGTCTCATGTGCCAAGTTGGGCCATTCACAAGTCATGTCATTAAATTAACAAAATAAAACTAAAAAGTGATTATTTTAAAAATAATAATAAATTAAAGTAAAAAACGAGTCAAACTCGTGAGGAAAAAAAGAAGAAGAAGGAAACTCGACTTGACTCGTGACTCATATAAAACAAGCTTAAACCGTCCATGATTGAGCGACGAACCAAGCCCCTCGCTAGCCACTTTTGTCAACCTATGAACCCCCAAAGCCAATTTTCAACTTGTGATAAAAGAGTCATGCTACTTGTAAAAAGTTATGTTACAAAATTGGTTTATAAAATACGTGTTGGCAACATCCTGACTAATGATTAAAAACGTTTGTAATGCTATTCATCTCCACTGAGGATGAAAACCCATTTTAAATGACGTTAATGTGATATTAAATGATAGGTGAAATTAAATTCATTTAACATATCATTTAAAATCACATAAACTGTGTTTTCATCCCTACTGAAAATGAATAACATTACTCATTTTGAAATCAATTACCTTAATCTTGCCACATCATTTTGTTACACTTTTGTAAAGCACGATTATACAACTATCATAATGGTGATAAAATCCGTACACACTGACTTTTAAACGGAAAACCCAAACAAAGTCAAATTCGCCGGCAGAATACAGCAACGTCAAATTCCGAGTTTGACCTTCCCATATCAAATCACCCGAATCACGACTGCGTACAAGTAGATTGCTGAGATTAGCAAGTCACTATTTTTGAAGAAGAAAAATGCTGGAGATTAGAGAATCATTCGTACTGTATACATAGTAGATTGCTCGAATTATTTATGCTCAAATCTGCATTCGTTGGTTTGTTTGAAGCTAAACCCACTAGGAGATTTTGCATTTTTAGGTAACTTTTTCTTTTTTTCGTATTATAGAATTATAGTTATGTATCTGTTTATTTATATAATGGATTTTTTAAATGGAAAATTTGTAGATTGAATAGGAGTTTAAAGAAGTGGGTAATGGCACCTCTGCCGATTCTTGCTTTAGCACTGCCATCAGAGACGGGGCGGGTTCTCAGTATTCAATCTCACACAGTTCAGGTGCTTCTTGTTTATTAATTCAAACGCAATTTTTTAAGCCCTCTTTAGAATATATCTGTATTGCTTGTGGGTTATTGTTTTTCGATTAGAAAGAAATGGTTCTTGACGATGTGAAATTATTGCTGTTCGAGTGTATTAAGGAAAATTGTTAAGGGGAATGTACTCTGTTCGTGTGGATGCATAGACGGTCTGGAGTAGGTCGGAATTTTTTTGAAATATTAGAAATATGTGGGAAGAAAGGAGTGGTTTTGAAGGATATTTATCACGCCTTTATCTTGTACAGTTTTATATTCATTTTGGCCCTGAGTTCTTAGTATATGCATATTTCTGTGCCATTACGGTGCTATTCTGAGTTTTTCTTTTTTCAGGATGTTTTCCTTTTTAGGAAGAATTCATCAAATATTCATGTCTTCGTATATGCACACAAGTAAATCACATTACTTGCGAACCTTTCTTCTTTTGTCAAATTGTTCTACGGGAGATTAAACAATCCAGTAAGCACTTTTTAGCTGTTCCGAAGTATCACATTAATCGATAATTCCATTTATACCCAGAAAAAGACACACCATGATATCCACATTTTCCAACTTGTTTTGATTCTTCTATTGCCTTTTTTTATTTTTTATCCTTTTTGTTTATCTGTGATGATTCTATAATGCTTTCTTGATATACCTCAAGAATGCTGTTTATAAATCATAAGCTTTATGTTGAGATCATTTCCAATTCTTTTTCTACCAAGGGATATGTTGGCAACAAATCAGCTGTCTTTCCTTTACAATTACTTGGCTATGACGTGGACCCCATCAATTCTGTGCAGTTCTCGAACCACACAGGCAAGCTGCTTATATAACTTTGTTCAAACAGTCTGACGCCTGAAACACGGTGCGAGGTCATCTGTGAATCTGTATATGATCAGGCATGTTGCATTAGATATATACAGATAATTTTGTCATTACTCCAACCGAGTTTTGTGCAGGATACCCATCTTTTAAGGGCCAGGTTTTGAATGGAGACCAACTTTGGGATTTAATAGATGGTCTTGAGGCTAATGATCTGTTATTCTATACTCATCTACTGACAGGTATCTCAAAAGCCCTCTAAAAATTGCTAAACCACTATTGTACATATGGTTCGAAAAAATTCAATTATCATTGTTATCAAATCGATTTCCGTAAAATTGGGTCCACAGCCTTGTATTTTGACAGAAAAATGATGGTAAACACCGTAGTTTTCTTTCCCTGATGTTCAGTTTATGCTCATTTTTATAATTTCGAGACTCTTTTTTTTTTTTTTTCATTTCTTAGAAGGCGAACTTAATTTAATATTTTTCAAAAATTCCTACATACATATGTTTATCTATAAATGTTTGATTTGTTTACTCTCTGCCTTGTTCTTTCTAATTCTTAATGGCTTATTGTAGGTTATATTGGTTCTATCTCCTTCTTGAACACTGTACTAAAAGTCGTCGACAAGCTTAGGTCTATCAACCCGAAACTTACATATGGTAAGGCATTCAGGATTTTGTATTCCTAATTTCTCATAATAATTTGAGCTTCTGCTACTTTTTATATTAGTAAATATGAGGGTGTTTGGTGGGAATTAAAATTAGATTTTTAGTAGATTGTGATAGAAATTTTTGAAATGTGTGGTTGAAAAGTTGTGAGACCCATAAAAAATGTGGTTAATATTGATTATTTGACTTTGACTTGGATTAAAATCAGATTTTAATCCGGACCAAACAGGGGCATAAGTTGCATGTGAGTAAATACTCTTTTATTTATCTTTTGTTTTCTTATTTATGCGTTTGGTTGGGGGCAGACATCTTTGATCCTGATCATGCATAAAAAAGTTGAGCCTTAACCATTTATATTAGTTACAGAACTAAAAAATATTTATATTTCATAGTGTGGATCTTGATATATTTTTCTTCTAACACTACATGCTGTATATTCAGTCTGTGATCCAGTGTTGGGCGACGAAGGAAAGTTTTATGTCCCTCAAGAACTGGTTTCGGTATATCGCGAGAAGGTACTTCTTACTCTTGTATTTGGAAGTGGATTTTCCTTTAATTAATGCATTAGCTTGCTTATAGAGGGCTATGTACTGTTGGACCTAGTTTTCTCCGTCTTTCCTTCTTCAAATGGCCTTATTAGCAATGGAGTCATGCCTGACAGCTCAAATTCCTAGGTGTGACTGATTCCGATCATAGAAGCGTTGAAATCATATTGTTTATTTCATGTTTTATGTTTTGAACTCTTTGTCCACATGGAAATGCACTATTCAAGTTCAAAATAAACATTATATTCTTGTAGGATATAAGATGCTATTTTCTCAACTTAACGTGAGTTTTTAGGGAGTAAACTTATGTCTAGCAATTTTCTGCATTATTTCTTGGCAATGTGAAATGGATATTTCCCATTAATTATTTTTAATAGAAAAGGAAAAGGAATAGGAAAAAATACAATCTCAATTTAGAATAAAATCTTTTATTTCCAAGTGCATAAAATAACATGGAATGATGTAACTCAAAAGTATTTGAATCATTGCCACCCTTAATAGTTTGACTTTGGAGGTGGTTTTATCAATATAGCTGACTTTAAATAATGATGGGATAAGACTTAGTTCAATCCAGTTTTTAACTTTCATTTATTTATTTTTTGTTAAACCAATGATTGAATTTTCTGATAGTTAACACTTTAATATGCTACATCAAAATAGGTTGTCCCTGTTGCTTCGATGTTGACTCCTAATCAGTTTGAGGCTGAACAGTTAACTGGTTTAAGGTATTCATTCCATCTAATAGTACCTAACAAGTTATGATGCTGATCGACTATACTTGTGTTTCTATGAGGATATTCTTGTCTCAATCTTGTTAAATTTACCGCCTGTTGAAGTTGGTTGCCTAGTGTAAACAGAACATCAATTTTGTGCTGTATTTACGAAATATGTGAAGTTTCTATTTTATTTACACGTATATTTAATGAGAGAATCTTTATGAAATCAGACGTGAAATTCTGTATTTCATTAATTTATGTACAAAATAGCAATCCTATTTATAATACAATGTAAGGAGTAAAAAAGGAAACAAACACTAATCTCCTAAATAAGACAATAAATCAAATAATATAATTACAACATTATTTTAGGTAAGGAAAATCCCTGTCAATCATCTTCAATCATCCGGGATTTCAACACTTTATTTATTCTTATTACCATGGGTACTTACTAAGATTTGAAGCAAAAGAAGCACAGTAAGAAATGACGTAGGCAGTGTAGTTAGGATCATTAGAGTCGAGCATAACTAATCATTGATGATTTGAAGTTTTGTATATCTAAACTGATGTTGGACTGGGACCCACACTCTTGCTGCTGCGTGGTCCATCTGTCAAATTGCATTATTATGGATGGTTTGTTCGTTCTTTTTTTATGTTAATACAAATTCAGTTTCTAAATGTACTTGTATCATGATTGAGAAGTCTTACTACATGGCTGTATATTTAAACAAAATCATGATGCAGCGTTTTTACTGTGCAATTTTTGTCTGTGCCATTATCTTAGCCCATGTTTCCTTATATGGTGGGTTTTGCCTGTCTCAGGATCACATCGGAACAAGATGGTAGGGAAGCTTGCAACATTCTTCATGCTGCAGGACCATCAAAGGTTTGTCTTCATGCGTAAACTTTAGAAAATTAGTTTCAAATTTGTTCCCAAGCCTTTTACCTAATGCAATTTTTTTGTCTTGCTATTTGCTTTCCTCTTCAACCTGCCTTTTGAAGTCTTTCTCCTCTTTGTGATCATGTCCCTTATTGTGAGTTCTGTCTTTGTAGTTAACTTTGACTGGTTTGGTTAAGACATTCAATTGCCTTTTTCTACCCTTATTGTGATCATGTCTCTTCTTCAAGGGAATTTCCATTGATTTTTTATGCTTGGAAACCAACTTCCTGTAGAGTTACTCGTTTGGTGTGGAAGCGGAATTGGAATTCTTGAAATAAAAATAACGTTGAACCAACTCAAGAATTTGTAGAGAATAATTTTATTGTAATAAATTAGTTCATTGTAAAGTGTACAAAGACTTTGTATATATGGGCAAAATAATTTTCTAGTCTTAACTAATATAATGAAACTAAATAAAAATCTTGAAAAGGAAATAATATTGTAATCTAAACAAGAAATAAAATCCTATTACATCAATCTATAATTCCATGCCATATTTGTCTTAGAATTGTCATACATCATCTTTAGTTTACACGAGACAATTGGTTAGTTTAGGTCACAGCGTCCTTTTCCATTCTTCTTGGCCTGACAATAGAATTTCAAGCGATGAACTCTGGTTTTTCCAAAAATAATTTAGAACAAATAACCTAACATTTAAAGTGGATGGTAAACAATGCTTTTTTTTTTTTTTATCCCAGATTGTTGCTTTATAACTTCATAAATCACATAGTCAACTTTCCCGACCATGCCATAAAATAATGGAGTTTATTGAAGCACAAGCAGATCTGGATTTATTAGCTTGTCTTCATCAAGTAGACGTTTATTTCTCTTACTAATCTGTTTAATCTTAATTACGCAACGTCAATAATGGATGCCATAGGTTTGTAATATGTATCTCGAGCTATACTCTGATTGTTGGTTCTATGAACGAGTGTGATGTTAAATGAAAGGCAAATTTTCCTCTTTTTAACTTTTAACCATGTCAACACAATAAGTGAGACTTTTAGCGTAAAGAAAATACAGACGATAATTTTGTGGGAATCTGTCAATTGGTTGCTGTGTTCACTATCTCTGATCATCAAGTTCGTTCGTTAATTTGTCATCTCCCGTGTGATGATGTTATAAAAAATGCAAACATCATTGTAGTTTTTAATGATACAATTTTTCAAGAAGCTCCGCCTTATCAGGCATAGATAATCAAAGTTGCTGCGAGATATGAAGGAATTTATGAAATAGCAAGAGAAAAACTAAAATCATACAGTTGTATTTAGTTTTATATCTGTCTAAGATTTACAACATTTAGGATCATATTTCAGGTTGTGATTACAAGCATAAACATAGATGGCAATCTTCTCCTGATTGGCAGTCATCAGAAAGAGAAGGTATGAAAACAAGTGAGTCTTGCAAATAGATATTACAGTATCCATCTCAAGAAAAATAAGATGGAGTAAATATTTTACAAAGTGTTCCTCACAAACTAACTCTTCTTTGTACATTGTTCCAGGTCTTTATCAATGTTCACTTTGGGATTATTTACTTTTTTAACTTGGTACAGTAATTCCAGGTTTTGATTATAATGTGTTTCTACTTTTGTTGAACAACTTCAATTTTTATAGGGTCAATCACAGCAGTTCAAGATTTTGATTTCCAAAATTCCTGCCTATTTCACGGTATGCATTTGTTTCACTCGTGAACCTTTTGCAAATTTTTCATGTCTATATCTATTAATTATTTATCATTTTGAAGAGTGAACCAGCTATTGTTGAGCTCTTCTGCTCTAGGTTTGATAGAAATATGTCATGTTTTCTTAGAACTCCTAAGTAGAACGGCATTGAAATGTTGTCAAGAGATGAGAACATTTTTAGATTCTAGATGCTGGACCTGACAAGTATTCTATGTTTTTTATTCGCAAAGTTGAAAGGATCTTATTGCCTTTGCTTCCTTGACACGTGGCTGATATGGATGCGGAGTGCATTCGACTGTTGAACCCCCTCCCTCCCGACATACCCTGACTTATCTGTGAAATTCACGATTTCAGGAATAAGATTTGGTTTTCTTGACTTTTTTTTTTCTGCTAATACACGTATTCAACATTATACTACCTTAAATATTGGAATTCTACATCATTGATATTCTTATTCTCTCTTTATCTCGACTTATCCTTCCAATTAGCCACATCTTTATTTCTTTCACTTTGTTTTACAATCTTATTTTTTATTTTTTTTTTTTGGGGGGGAAAAATTCCTCTATTCTAGAATTCTGTTTTTGTTTGTCCACATGCAAATATTTTTTATCCTTTATGACAGATGTTACTAATTAAATGACATTGCTTGCTAGCAGGGAACAGGAGATCTAATGACTGCACTGTTGCTAGGATGGAGCAATGTAATGCTTGAGCAAAATTAAATTATGTCCTTGAGCAACTTTGTCATGTATTATTTAGTGATTTCTTATTCTAGTTCTCCCATGTTATGCAGAAATATCCTGAAAACCTTGACAAAGCAGCAGAGCTGTCTGTATCAAGCTTGCAGGTATTCGTTTTGCTGATTGTTGTTGTCATGCTGTTGCCAAATATCTTTATTCAGAGCTAAGATACATTATTCAATAACTGAGATATTATTTTCGGTGAACGTCTTGATAATTTGTTAAAAAATCAACAGTTTGAATGAACGACCGGGTTACTAAATAACCTGTCATTTTTATAGATACGGACTTTTGGGTGATCGTCCTTTAGCCTGCTGTTTGCTGAAAAAGACTCCCGTGAGTTGGTTTGGTATAATAGATAAAACTAGTTCCTGGTAAAGGTGCCTCAAACTCATCCAGAGTTGGAGAATTCGAAAAAAGACTCTCAAGTGGAATGCATCAACAAAACAGCCATTCCAATATGGATCTTCGTGGCATGACTGNTATACTGCGGTTAATGGATCAAGAGTTTGGAGGGGGAGTTGGATACAAGAAGTATCAAATAGTCCATGGCTAGTTAATCTTTTACTTGGATCTTGGTTTTCTGAATGGTGGCCTGAGATGGAATTGTTTGTTGCAGGCGCTTCTGGCGAGGACATTAAATGACTATATCAAGGCTGGACATGATTGCCAATCGAGCAGTTTGGAGATTCGATTGATTCAAAGTCAAGACGATATTCGCAACCCAGAAATCAAATACAAGGCTGAGAAGTACAACTAAGTAGTGATATTATTGTTTATGCCAGTTATAAGATGCATTCAATAAAGTTGCCAGTTTAATGGCATTTTAACATGACTGATGTAATCAAAACTATACAACTAGTTCATTTTTTTTTTTTTGATCGGTCATGTACAACTAGTTCATTTGTTGGTTGTAAAATGCATTTGATTCTATTTTAGTTTTTGAACTGATATAGTTTTTGTGTAGGCTGAATATATTCACTTTACATTTTTTTTTACAAGTGCACCCGTAAGTTTTTTACTCATTGTTATACCTATGTCTCTTACTTATTTTTCATAACATTTAAATCACCAACCTTCTATTAATTAGTATTTCTTGTACCTGGTGATGTTTCCGTCCAAAAATTCCAAGAAGAAAGTAAAAATGCTTACTTTTTTTTCTCCTTTTTTACATTAAAAAAAAAAAAGACATACAAAGTGCAATTGAACATTTGTCTCATTTTAAAATATGCAAAAGAATTTTTGGATAACTATCATTAAGGATCAGATGGAAGATCAAGTATAAAAATGTGATTACAAAAAGAGAAATGATAAGCGTACACTCTTGGTGTACACTCGTTTTTACACCCCTCTCACATAGTGGGTTCCGCGATTATTTTATTTATAACGGGACCCACCCATGTTATGAGAGGAGTGTCAATGTTGTACACCAGAGTGTACATGTAGCATCTCTCTTAGAAAAAAGATATATAAATGGCACAATTAATAAAATTAGATATCTTTAATTTAAAGTGTAGTCTATGCATTCAAATCATGATGTTAACAGAATGACCTTTTAAAAAATGAGTCAAAGTAAAGTTAAATATTTCAATGACCATTGAGCTTTGTCCCATATCACGGTTTACTCATAATTACATCTCAGACCACCATTCAGAATTGAGAAAACCAAAATCCAAGTAAAATGGGGGTGGTGTAGTTGGTATTTAAATGTCCTTATTTAAATTAGTCAAAGTGAGCTAAGTCCTTAACCTTTGGGCAAAAGTATAAATGGGTCCTGACCTTTATTCAGTAATATTTAATGTAGAGTATTGAATATATGTCTATTAAATTTTCAGGAATAAAAAAATAGAGTTAAACTATCTTGCTTTAAGTGTATGTGATTGTTTTGTGCAATGATTTTTTTCAAAATCATTTTTTCAATCACATATTCTCTATAAATCATTCTTTCATGTCTCTCTATAATTTTTTCTTATTTTCAATTGCACATTCTTTAAAGAATATTCATTTTCACAAAATCACTTCTCGAAAAACCAACTTCGCACAAGGACAAAATGACATTATATTATGATAGTCATTCAATCTTATTGTGTTTTATTGAATATAAAAATAATGATAGATATTAATTTACAAATTATAGGTTCTTTATTTTCTTTATTGAATGAAAAAAACAACAAACTAAATGATGAAGAATACGTTTGAGCTCTAATATGTGCTTTTAGCATAAACATGATTTAAACACAAAAATATACTACATCCGTCTCACAAAGATATTCTTGTTTTCATTTTCACAAAAATTAAGAAAATATAATTAATATATTCGAAAATATAATTTTTTTTTTTTTTACATTTTTCCTAATATATCCCTACACTAAATAATTGTTTAAATAGAAATGGTTTCTACTTGTTAATAACATGGCACATTAAATAGTACGAGTGCACAAAAATTCGCGAAATCGCAAATCGAATTGAAACTGTTAGTTTGAAACCATTGGTTCGGTCCACAGTTTTTTTTTTTTTTCCCTCAAACCGAACCAAACAGTTTCTAAATGATTTGGTTTATGTTTCAATTTTCAAAAACCACATAAAACCGAACCAAACCGTGTTTTAACTTTTAAATTAAAAAAATAATTTTATTAACTTACAAATTATAAAGTTTTCACTTTTTAGAAAAAAATATGAATTTAGCAATAAAAATGACAACCAACCTATTGAAATAATCATATAAAATAAATTAAGTTAATCATTATTGACCGATGGTTTTATAAGTCTACAACACACGTTCTGACCTGATATCTAATCTAATAAACTTGTTTATGATTTAGAAAAAAACGAAGGATAAAACTTATTGATTGTGTGAAAATGTTAAGGTTCCCTAATTAATACTACTATATTCTATTTTCTTAAATTTGTAAGAGAATATAATTTGTCAATTTTCAATAAACATGAACTCTCATTCTTTGTACATTTAAATATATCATGTTCAGTTCTTATTTTTCATTTCCCTTTTAGAATGAAAGGAGTTTTAACCAAACAATTACAACAAAATGCATCCTATCTTTACCAAGTGCTATATGACAATATGAAAAAAAAAGTAAATAAAAACGAAGAAAGATATATTCGTTCTATTAATATCTTTTGGCAATCAACTTTGAAAATAATTTATTCACGGGTTTCATGGGAAAGATGAATATAATTTAACATTTAAGATTATTAGTTCTCATTTAAACTTATATGTTAACTTATTTTAAACATATTATTATAATGTCGATAAGTAAATTGCGGATTAAAACTGAACAAACCCACAAATTATAGTTTGGTTTGTTTTGAAAAGAAATTCAAACCGTATAAAATGGTTTGAGTTGAAAATATGGCATAAACCGCTCATATCGAATCGCGTTCACCCCTATTAAATAGGGGTATATTAAAAAAAATTAAAAAATAAATTATACTCTCAATAAGGTATGTGACATAATTTAGGACTGTCAAAAGATAAAAGCAAATCAATCTTTATGGCATGGAGGGAGTTGAGGTAAATACCCATAGCTTCCGTGGAAGGCACCTGCGAAGTCCATGCACAATGTTTCACTACTTACATGTTTGCACGTTAAGATATTTTCTCGAATTGGCATTATCAATTCCCTAATGAATTATAACTGTATTGTACTGCACTCAATGTTTGTTCGTGGGTGCCATCAGGGGCGGATCCAAGGAGGAAGTCCAATGGGGACGAAACCAAAAAATCTTCAAAAAAATCTAAAAATATTAAGAAAAATCGGGAAGTCTAAAAATTGAGTTAGGGCGGTGGCCCCCACTAGTCTCCAAGTAGGTCCGCCCCTGGGTGTCATTGATCATAAGGTCCCTAAATTTGACTCGACTTCAAAACGCATAATCTATTTTACATTCTTATTTTTATACTCCATTTCAACAACTTTATCTTGCAAAAGTTCATCATCTTGTATATTTTATAGATCCCGATGAAACATTGTCAAATTGCAACTTTTAAGTTGATTAATTAATTTAAACATGTTTCTTATTTTTCATCCATAAAAATGAAAAATATGACTGTTATACATCACATCAAATCATCAATTTTGAATTTTTATCTCTTGTATGGGACCCAGTAACGACTATATTTTTTATTCTCATTCTACAATAATAAGAATCAAACGGGCAATAATGCTTGACAAAATATTGAAGTTTCTTTGACTTTTGCCTCCTAATATCATTAGTGGATATATATTAGGTCATTGTTTGAGCCCTATTTTTTCCATCAAAATGAATTATTGAATAGTGATTTGGCATTTTTTAACTACTTATTTTTCAATAAAATAATATTACACGTAAATCCAAATCTTTTCTTTATTTTTTAACCATACATTTTCCATCATAACACTATTGCAAAATTCATTTCTTTGAAAAAAATGGTGCTCAAACGTGTCCGATAAAAAGCTCGTATCAAATTGAGGCAATGTAAAGAATATTTTATAACTAGTGGGTTTCTTTTTGTCCATGCGTACTCTAGTCCTTTGAGTTATAAGTTGTATCGCATCTCTCTCTTTATATTTGTGACTCTTGTCATGGATAATATACACATTAATTAAGAATTTAATATAAATCCCTACTAGCTCAATAAATAAACTTGAAATTTTAGAAGGTGTCGTACATAGGAGACGTGTAAAAACTTGATATTGTCTTCCAAAGTTTATAATATTTATAATTTAAGATTTAGGATAAGATCTTGGATCCAAAAACATTTTTATTATATGCTGGCTTACATCATTCTATTCTGATTAAAGCCAGAATTTGAGGGAAACATTGAAAAGGAAATTTGGCAAATGATGAAATTGCAAGTCTCTGGAGGGAAAAAGGATTGAGTTTTAAAGAATCTGTAACGAACAGGAACTTACATCGACCTTATTTTACGGATAAGACATTCAAAACTCAAGTTTAAAAAAAAAATGAAAGGAAAAAAAAATCTGATGATGCTTTTGAAAAATTTGACACACCACCAATTCCCACAATTTCCTCAACTGCTTCTAGTAAATCAAAAGGTAATTTTTCACACTCGGTTGGAGTAGTGGAGTTTTTTTTTTTAATGCATTTGAAAGAGAAAACTTGTATTTATTTTGCAAATATAAAAGTACTTTTACTTCTTTCTAGCTGTTTGAGTTTTTGATTTTTTGTGATGCTAATGTATTTGTTTGTATTTGAATTAACATTAGTGTTTCGTCTCAATCTAGTTAAGTTTTGGTATCAGGTGACTATATTGCTATATTTCCTGTATCACGTGTTTTTACACTTGGCATTTGAGTTTTGATTTCATGAAATGGGTTTAACAAATAATGCAAGAAACAGAACTTGGGTAGACTAGATTTTTGTGTTTTTACTACCTTGACTTATTTGTAGATTTTGTCACAGAATGTCAAATGGGGAGTTTGTTAGATTTTATTGTAATTGGTAATTATGTGAACAAAATGATTGAAATTAATAGTGTTATAAGAGTTTTGAAAAGTCAAAGGGTCAAGTAGTAAGTAAGAAGTTATAGGGTTCGAGTATGGAACAAAGGAGTAAACGTTGCCGCAATTTCGTTAGCCTATCGTCCAATTGTAGCTCAAGTGGTAAAAATAGAAGTTTTGTCACCTGCCTGTCGCCTTGACTTCACTCAAGCGAAACACCGTCGCTTATCACTGAACTCTCGCTCGAGCGACAGCATTATTCGAAAAAACCTAATTTACATTTTTAAGGCTTCTTACACGGCTC